AAGAACTGTTTTCTCTCATAATATTCATCATCCTTGTCCTATACGATGTGTAGAACACTTGTTGTTTCCCGGCCGTCGTGTGGGGTATTGCATCCGAAGATATCGTCCCGCCACGCACGGCGCATTATCTTAGCACAGCACCCGCGCAACATAATCAAGACATATTGTCCAAAAAGACAAGAAGTACAATACGACCACGACAAATAACAATATAACTATAATCATCATAAGACACTTATAAGAATAATGATGCGAATAACAGTAAGGATAATAATGATAATGAAAGTCCGAAAGCAAACAGGCTCGCCTGCTTCTTTCCTCCCTCCTTTTTTTCTTATTTTCTGCATCATCCTTGTCCTATACGATTTTTCTTACCACCCCTATTGAACAATTAGTTTTTCCCGGCCGTCGCGTGGGGTATTGCATTCGAGGATATTGCACCCGCCACGCACGGCGCGTTATCTTAGCACCCGCACCGCCAAAATTATTCGGCCCCCATCGTAGGCACGGACGGTTCCTTTTCAGAGCTGGGCTCTCCCTTGCGTGGGACTTAATGTTGTTATTGTTGGTGTTGGCGGTGTTATTGGTGTTTTTGATGTGAGTGTTGTTGTTGGTGTTGCTGTTATCGGCCTTGTTGTTCTAGATATAATTCAGATTGCTGTTATTATTGCCGTTGTTCGTGATGGCACCGTGCCGTAAGGGAGTCTTGAGGAGGAGGAGCAGGAGGATTTTGTTTTGTTTAGTTCGGGGTAATAATAAGTATAAAATAAGCATAAGAATCACAATAATAGTGAGAATAGCATTAAGAATCAGGCTTGCTTGTTTCGGCGAGCAGACTGATCTGCGTTCACATAAAAGTGCGAGGTGCCAGGGTAACGCTTCTGGGTTGCCGGGTGCGTTATACTTTCGCCAGAGAGGGGGGGGGGGGCGGGGGGGGGTTCTTAATTGCTTGACGAAAAAATAAGGCTGTAGGGCTATTCTAGGGCACCCGGGCACCTGGGGCAACCAAGCACCTGGGCACCCGGGCGGGCCGCCGAAATCGGCGACGCAGCTCCCGGGCACCTGAGCAGCCGGGCACCCGGGCACAAGGGCACCCGGGCACAAGGGCGACGCAGCTAACCTAACCAGATGAATCCGCTAGGACCCCTACAAAGGCAAGCAATAATTGGGGAATATATGATTACGGCAGGCTCCCGTCGCGACGACGTCGGCATTGGCTTCTGCAACCGCGCGGACCACTTCAATCCTGAACGACCGTGGCCCGCTGATGGCGCGGATCGCTCAACGTACAGCGGCCGAGCTCCGGCCGCCCGCGGCAATCAACCTTCGGCTCCGTCCTCTACAGTAGGGGCTCGACCAAAAGAAACCTTTCACAAGCAACCCAACCCTGCGACCCCAGGACGTCCATTGATTTCTGGCGTGGGCTCGTCACGCTTTCCAGCGCCAAACCAGCGAAATCCAAGAAACCCGGGGCACCCTGGAGGCAAGCAGGGTGCTTCTTGGCATGGGCCTCCGCCGTAACGGAGGACGTGGGCCGAAGACACGCGCACCCTTCGTGTACCTTCTGGGCCCGCGTCGGCAGTTCAGGGTTAGGTCGGGCATGTCCTCCTACAAGTGGATTTTCGAAGCATATCTAAATAGTCAACCAAAGGATATTCAAACATAATTTTAAAAATAACAAAAAATCGTCCCCTGACAATTTTTGGAGTATTCTCTGATATTCCTCCTGTAGAGGGACACGCCCGACTTGAGCTTAAGGGCCCCTTCTTTAAGGTCACTTCCCTGCAGTCCTCGGCCTCCCACCTTCCTTGCCTCCGCCCCCCCCGTTGCCCTCCGCCCGACACCCAGGGCCCGAAGCCGGGCGAAAGTGCACAGTGCAAAAAATACACAATCGCAGAAATCGCGAACGAAACTCTGAAGACCCCAACTCTCGGCAGCACTTCTCGGGCCGGGACGAGCACTGAGGGCCCCAGGGGCCCGAACAGAGGAACACACAACTGCACGGTCTCCGCGCGGTCTTGTTGGATCAGCGCTCGACCCCCCTCCCTTGCGCGCGCCCAGATTGCCACATCTCCTGGGGCTTGGCGCGGATTGGCGCTGAACTTTCTCGGAGCCAAGAGGGCCCCGAGCACGGTGACGTGATGGGCCGGTGGCCACCAGTGTCCGCCGCCCCCTGTGGTCTTGCCACAGGGGTGCCCGACGTGCTGAGCCCGCGTGCTGAACCCAAGAGAGCTTCGACCCGAAACGAGCACCTCGTCTGCAACAGATTCCCCGAGACGGCCACAGTTGGCCTCCAAGAAGGCAAGATGGCTCCCAGGTTCGCCCAAGATGGTCCAAGATGGCCTCGAAGACGGCCCAAGATTTTCCAAGATGCCTCCAAGTCTGCTCTCGAAGCCACCAAGACTGCCCAAGCTGGCTTCAGGCTGGCCCATGCCCCGAGACGCCCCAAAAAGGCCTCCCAGACGGCCTAAGAGGCCTCTAAGAGGTCCTCCAGGGAGGCCAGACGATGCCAAAATCATTGATTTCCCATATATTTGTTCACTGGCATTTGCTTCTTCTCGGCCTTCCGACGGCCCGAGACGGCCAAAGAGCCCCCAAAGATCGCCCCACGGTCTCCGAGATAGCCCCAGAGCGGCCCAAGAGGCCCCCAAGACGGCCCCAAGAGGGCCCCAAGACGGCCCAAGAGGCCTCCAAGACGCCTAAGATGGCCTCCAAGGAGGACCTGGAGCACCCCAGGAGGGCCCCAAGACGGCCCAGAGAGGTCCCCAAGACGGCTTCCGACGCCATCAGACGGGCCAGGAGGCCATCAAGACGGCCCAAGCTGGCTTCAAGATGGCCCAGGACGGCCCAAGCGGCCCCCAAGAGGTCTCTGAGGCGGCCCAAGCGGCCCCCAATAAGGCCACCAGAGGTCAACATCAGTGATTTTCCCATGGTTTTTGAAGGAGTCTGGCAGTTGCTTCTTCTCGGCCTTCCGACGGCCCGAGACGGCCAAAGAGCCCCGAAAGATCGCGCCAAGATCTCCCAAGCGGGCTCCAAGATGGCCCCAGAGCGGCCCAAGAGGCTCCCAAGACGGCCCCAAGGACACCCAAGACAGCCCAAGAGGCCTCCAAGACGCCCAAAATGGCCTCCTCCAAGACGGCCCTGGCGCACCCCGAGCGGGACGCGAGTCGGCTCAGAGAGGTCCCACTTTTCCATAGGTGTTTGAAGGATTTTGGTATTTACTTTGCTTCGGCCTTCGGACTGCCCGAGACGGCCCAAGAGCCCCCAAAGATCGCCCAAATATCTCACAAGAGGCCTCCAAGATAGCCAACAAAAACGGCCCAAGAGGCTCCCAAAACGGCCCCAAGAGGGCCCCAAGACGGCCCAGGAGACCTCCAAGACGCCCAAGATGGCCTCCAAGGCGGCCCTAGAGAACCCCAAGAGGGCCTCAAGTCTGCCCAGACAGGCTGCCAAGACGGCTTCCGACGGAGTCCGACAGGCCAGGGATGCACTAAGACTGCCGAAGAGGCCCCCGAGAAGCCCCCCAACGCCCCCAAGAGGCCCGAGGCCCCCAAAATGCTTCCAAGAGGCTCCCAGGAAGCCTCCAGGAGGCCCCAAGTGTGCCCCTAGAGGCTCCCAAGATGCCCCCTCCTTTGTCTTCCTCCTGATCTTCCCCGCCATCCTCCCCCGAATGTTCCCCGAAGGGTTTCCACAGCGGCTGGGGAACACACATGGTCCGAGAGCTTGGCAGAGCTCTTGCCACAGCGCTCGGCCACACGGGCGATTCCAAAAGGCAGGGGGCGGCGGTGATTTACCGCACTCCAGATTTCGTAATAAAGGGAGGGGGGTCTCATTTCGGGGGGGGTCTCTTCCAGGCTATCTTGGAGGGCCTGGGGGGGTCTGGGGACCTTCGGGGAGGGGTCTTTGGTCTCAGGGCTATCTTGGAGGGCCTGGGGGGGTCTGGGGACGATGTTTTGGAGGGTTCTCCCACGGGGGGGGGGGGGTCTGAAATGGCTTGTCTTGGAGGGTCCAGACCCCCCTCCCTTTTATTACGAAATCTGGAGTAGGCGTCTTCGATAGCTTCCTTGGGGAGAAGATGATACATGCCTCGGCGGCCCAAGATAGCCGGCGACGTCGGGCGAAGAACAGCACGACAGCGACAAGACGACGACCGACGACCAGGGCCCACGTGAAGACCAAATCCGCTCTAAAGAGCGAGTTGTTCTGCGAGCCCAAGCAGGTTCACGTTCACGAGGTTCCCCCCCCCTCCCTCCCCCTGACCCCCACTCCTCCGCGTTCTGAGACACTGCTTGGCCGAAACGGCATGCAAGTGGGTTTCGACTTGAATGGCATCACGAAATCCCTTCAGGACCTCACCAGGACCCCCCTCGCCTCCCCCCAAATGACGGGAAACTGGCCAGAGCCTCAGGAAAACTGCCTCCTGGAAAATCTGTCAAGATGGGGGGATGAAGTAGGCTCGTCCGCTCAAAATCAGTCCCCGGATCCGCCCTTGACGGTCCCGTGGCCCGAGAACGACCCCTGCGAGGCCGAGACAAGCAAAAGGCTGCCTCGAACCCAGATCCTCGAACCTGGCACCCCTCCTCGCTCGCCGGAACCCGTGCTGGGCCACTCCGGACCCCCAGCCGGCTGCGAGGCCGGGCAGCGGCCCGCCAACTGGGCCGCACGCCGCAGCGACCGAGCGGCGCAGCGGCCGAGCGGCGCAGACGTTCTGCCTCGCGGCATGCCCGCCGTGGCGTTCGGTCGGGCACGTCCTACAGGCGAATGGTTGGAAAAAAAATGGGACATAGTCAAAACATCCTCAACAAAACATCAAGCAATCTTTGAAACATCGTCCCCAAACTTTTTTCTATATATTATTGAACTATCCTCCTGTCTGTAGAGGGGCACGCCCGCCTTACATAACCGTGGCGCCTACAGCCAGCGAGGAGGAGGGCGAGGCAGCGGCCCCACGGACCTGGCAGCGGGCACCACCGGGAACAGTTTTGGACCCCCCGCGCGACCGCGGGCAAGGGCTTGCCGCCGTCTTGCGCGACCTCGACCGCAGAAGCGGCGCACGGTGACGAGTCCGCCTCCCGCCGCTTCATCAGCGGCGACACGATCCGGCGCGTGCTCTCGAGGTCGGCGCCCACCTGAGGGAGGCCGACACCGAGACATGCTCGCCACGCAGTTGTGAGCATCGTCTTCGGTGGAGCTCCCTTCGGGGCCACGGAACGTGTGATTGGTGTACCGATGTGCGTGCGGGGACCACATGCGCGCTGCGCCACTGGGACCCTCGGTGGAAGTCCCTCTGGGGTAACAGAACGAGTGAAGGGTGTGCCGAAATGGGTGGCGGGGACGCATGCGAAATGCGCCACTGGGACCTTCGGTGGAGCTCCCTATGGGGCTTCGGAACGAATGAGGGGTGTGCCGAAATGGGTAGCGCCCCACGAAGCGTGCGAGGGGTGCGCCGAAATGGGTTTCGGGGATGCATGCGAACTGCGCCACTGGGATGTTCGGTGGAGCTCCTTATGGGGCCACGAAACGTGTGAAGGGTGTGCCGACTTGGCTGACGGGACCGCATGCGAACCGTGCCACTGGGACCTTCGGTAAGGCTCCCTTTGGGGTCACGAAACGTGCGAGGGGTATGCGGAAATGGGTGGCGGGCCGCATGCGAACTGCGTCACTGGGACCTTCGGTCTCCCAGTGGGGCCACGGAGCGTGTACGGGGCGTGCCGAAGTCTGATGGATGCGGAGGCCAGAGGCAGGGATGGGAGAAGGGAGGAGGGGGAGGAGGAGAGGAGAAGGAGAAGATGAGGGGAGGAGGAGCGGAGAGAAGGATGAGGACGCGGTGTGCTGTCCCTTCGAAACGGGGATCCACGAGCACAATATGCCTGGGAAAAATAATCCTGGCGAAGGACCCAACCATATGCAGCTGTGGGTATCGCTAGTGTGAGAACCGCCATCGGTGGAGCTCCCGACGGAGCCGCGAAATGCGTGAAGAGAACGCCGAAATGACGGGGTGAGGCCACCATGCGGGCGCTGCCGCTTAGGTGGAGCTCCCCATGGGACCACGAAGCGTGTAAGGGGCGTGCAAACATGAAGGGTTGGCGGCCTGCGGGCGCAGCCACTGGGGCCTTCGGTGGAGCTCCCTATGGGGCCACGAAACGCGCGAGGGGTGTACCAACATGAAAGGGTGGTGGAACGCGGGCGCAACCATGGAGCTTCCTATTGAGCCACGGAGCGTGTCAGGGGTGTGCCAATGGAAGGGGTGCCGCAGCCACTGGGGCCTTAGCTGTGGTTCCCAATGGGGCCACGAAACTTGTGAGGGGTGTGCCGGGATGAATAGTGGGACCGCATGCGAACTGCGCCACTGGGAGCTGCGGTGGAGCTCCCTATGGGGCCACGGAGCGCGCAACTACGGGGGCCTTGGGTGGAGTTCCCTAGTGAGCCACGAAGCGTGTGAGGGGTGTGCCAAAATGAAGGGGTGGCGACATGCGGGTGCAACCACTGAGACCTTAGGTGGAGCTCCCCATGGGGCCACGAAACGTGTGTGGTGTGCTGTGCCAAAATGGAGGGGTGGCGGCATGCGGGCGCAACTACTGGGGCCTTGGGTGGAGCTCCCTATGGGGCCACGTAACGTGTGAGGGGTGTGCCAAAATGAGGGGGGGGGCAGGGCCGCATGTGAACTGCGTCACTGGGACCTTCGGTGGAGCTCCTCATGGGGCCACGGGGTGGCGGCATGCGGGCGCAGCCACTGGGACCTTCGGTGGGGCTCCCTGTGAGGCCACGTAACGAGTGAGAGGTGTGCCAAAATGAAGGGTTGGCGGCATGCGGGCGCAGCCACTGTGTCCTTGGATGGAGCTCCCTGTGAGGCCACGAGGCGTGTGAGGGGTGCGCCCGAACGAAGGGTTGGCAGTGGGCGGGGAGGACGCATGCGGACGCGGCCACTGGGGCCTTAGGTGAGCTCCCTATGGATTTTTTTGCCGCTGCGCTACTCTGCCGCGAGTCATCGCGGTCCTCCTGGCGGCCAGCCAGGCAGCCGTCGAGCCCGACACTTGAGACGCTGCCAGCGCAGGATTGTTCCGTGCACGCTGGCCGACCCGCACAAGCAGGCCACGCGACAGGGCCAAGCCAAAATACAACAGGCGATTGGCAGTCGCCTGAGGGCGCAAAGCGGCGCAGGCCGCACCACGGTCGGGGCCATGCCCCCGTGGCGCGACCTAAGCGCGACCAGGGAGCGCTAGGAGACCGTGCTCCGCGCTCCCTGGTCGGGGTAGGGGGCGCGAGCCGTGCTCAGCGCCAACCCTACCCACCACCCACTCCGTGGGTGGCCGCGTTTTACGGGCCCCGGGACCACGACACGACGCGACACGACAGGGGGACGAAACGCACGACGCGACACGAACGACACGAGACGGACGAGCGACACGACAGAGACGAGCCGCCAGCCCCGCCCCAGGGCGGCGAGCGCTGGGGGGGACCCAGCACCGCCCTGGGGAAGCACCCGGGGCCTGGCGACCCCCCCGGGGGAAGGAAACCGCACTTTGGCGGCGTCCCCCGGGGTGCGGGGGATTTTCGCCCCTCGGGCCCGGCGCTCCCCGCCTGCGCCAGGAGGACCCTGGGGTCCCGACCCCTCCCCAACGGGAGGGGCCCCCTCGGGGCAAGGTGAGCTCCCTATGGGGCCACGAAACGTTTGAAGGGTGTGCCAAATGCGGATGGCAGGGGCAAAGATGGGAGGTTGGAGGAGCGGGAGGAGAGGAGAGGAGGAGAGGAGACGCGTGGACTGTCTTCAAAACGAGGACCCAACTCAACACAAGACTGTTTGGAAAAACGACTCAGGATGAAAAGCTGGTCCCAGGGTAAATTTCGGGACTTCCAAGGATCCACCTAAAAATGATGAGTAACATTCTGGAGACCTCGCGCGGCAACTTGAGGCTCGGCGTACGTCGGATCCACGCTGGATTTACATCGGATTTGCGTTGGATTCACGCCAGAATTGCGTCTGGCTTGCGTCGGAGCCTCGCCACGCCAACGTCGTCCAATTTCTGACGGGAGGGAAGTGCGGACTAGATAGGACAACTATCAAACATTGCGCGCCGAGCGAGGCCTCCAGGATGTGTTCTCCTAGTGAGACGGGCCGATAGGGAGGACTACGACTCAGGGCAGGGGAGGTCCGAAGAAGCCGATGTCGTTGCTCGTCCTGGAGAACCTTCGTCGCCACGGCTCGATTATTTTCGAAATTCTGATCCGAAGGCATCGGTAACGGTTTTAAACAACAAATATGGGGGGATAGCTAAAACATAAGAGTTCCCAAAGCTGTGATTTCTTTGTTCCACGCACGGGGGGTGGAATGCACAACTCCGCGGCGCCGCGCGCGCGGGCTGGGGGGCCGAAAGCCCACTGCGAGAGGGTGGAATGCACAGGCCGGGGCGTGGGACGCACTGCCCCCTAGGGTGATGGACCACGATGCGTTCCTGGCCCGCGGGTTCCCAAGGCCTCGGGCGGGTGATCCAATGAGGCCGCTACCCCTGCGGCTCAACGTCCGTCGCCACTTGGCCGATCAGGGATCGGCGCGACGAGACGCAACCATGGCGAAAAACCAGCACTGGCCCCAGACACATGCCGGCCAGCGCACGGTGCTGCAAAACGACCGTCGCGCCCACCGCGGCAGCACGCACTGCGGGACGCGGCCGTGGGGCGTGAGCCACCCGACCCCGCCGTTAGGCGCGCGCGCGCGCCCACGCACCAACACAACAGGCAAGAAGCCAGTGCGGAAAGCGAGAAGAGGAAAAAGAAACGGGAAGAAAAAGGGTGAGGAAAAGGGCGGCGCAGACCCCCTACACACGGCCGCCAAGGGAAGCACATGCCGAGGGTGGGCCCCAGAAAAATGCGGACTGTCTCGCCCCATTTTCTGTGATACACAAAAAGAAACCAGAGAGAAGGCGGGGCAAACCGGACCGCCTGGGACGTCCCCGCGACCGCCCTGGCGCTCCGCGTGCAGAGGCGGATTCCTGCGCACACTTGGCGTCAAAGCCACGTCGGCCACGCCCTGCGAATTTGTGATTCTGGAAGCCCACCAACATAAGACCATTCAGCCTCACAAAAATAACGGGTGACACGCGTCACCCCCGAAACCGTGCGAAAAAAAACATATGTAAATTTCGGATTCCTGAAGCCAGCATAAGGCCATCCAACTTCACTGAAAGCAACGGGTGACACGTGTCACCCTTGAAACGCGTGAGAAAAGCCAATTGTAGATTTTGGATTCGCATAGGGCCAGTCAGCCACACACCGCGCGCGAGAACTGGACGCCATCGCGCGCGCGCGCAGTCGCGCGCGTACGGACGCACAGCGTTCCAGTAAGACGAACACTACTGACTCGTCGACCGAAACCGCCCGCACATCTGCAAGCGTATAATACATGCGCATGTACGAATGCATGCGCGTGCGTGCGTGTGTATACGCATACACGTATACACACATACTTGTCCAGGTATCAATCGCATCGTTCGGTTCAAGTGGAACTTTCCAGGGGAACAGTTAAAACAATCATTACTCGGCGGCGGGATCCCTCAACGACGAGTGGGCGATTGGGAGTCGATGCGCCCCCCCTGAGCCTGTTCCCCCCCCAACGTTGCCGCTTGGACTCCGGGCCATGACTCGGCTGCCTGGTGGCCGTTCGGGGCAATCCGGGAACCCCCGGACGTCCCTCTCGGCGAGGCGCAGCTGCTCGAGCGCGCCCCGGGGCTGGGAACGATCCTCCTCCTCCTCCTCCTCCTCCTCCTCTCCTCCTCCCCTCCCCTCCTCCTCCTCCTCCCCCTCCTCCTCCTCCCCCCCCTCCTTCTCCTCCTCCCCCTCCTCCCCCTCCTCCTCCTCCTCCTCCTCCTCCTCCGCCTCCTCCACCTCCTCCTCCACCTCCTCCTCCTCCTCCTCCTCTTCCTCTTCCTCTTCCCTCTCCTCCTCCCCCTCCTCCCCTCCCAGATCTGGGAGGGGGCTGGAAAGACGCCCCCTCCCAGATCACGAACATGGCCCCCCTGGCTTTGCCCCGGACCACCGCGTCCCGCAGCCCCGCCTTCTCCATCGCGCCAGCCACCAGCAGGGGGTCCTGGGCCGCGGCGCGCAGGTGGGGAAGGCGGCAGGGCCGAGGGGGGGGGGGCGGGCTCCCGAAAGGGGCGGGGGAGGGGCCTCGCGGGTTCCCGAAAGGGCGCGGGAGGGGTTCGCTCAAAAGCCGTCCTGGCGGCCCCCTCTGCAGATGCCTCCGCGGACAGTTCCTGAAAGGAGGACCTCCGAGAGGACGGGGCCCTTCTCTGGAGAGCAGGAAAACCAAGCACCCCAAGCAAAGCCGCTTAGCACGCGCACGCATTGTACTTAGGACTCGCACAAGCCGAGCCTATTTAGTGAACGCCCAGGGACGTTGAGTAAACGCCAGGGACGGGCTGCAATCCCCCCCTCGACTCTCAGAACCCTGAAGCCGTGCGGAAACACAATCACGGCACGGAAACGCATCGCGACTGGAATTCTGGAAACGCTGTCAGCGGCACTTTGCGGGGCGGATCGGTCCGTGAGGGCGGCCCCCTAAGTCTGAAACCTGGCGACCAACCCCCATGTGAAAAAATGCGACGCCCCGATCTCGGGGAATGCCGTCCGCGCCCTTCTTCTGCGAACGACCCGCCGAGGTCCGCGGGGGCGCCCTCGAAGAGCGCGACCGCGTTGGGCAGGGCATCGATCGCTATGTAGGGGGCCGCTTCCTGCATGGTGAGCTGGTCGAACAGCCTGCGGACGCGCGTGGCCTGCTCCTGATGGATCCGCCGCATCAGCTTCACGAACTCGTTGAACTCTAGCCTTGGCGCGACAGGCGCGTGTCGCGCCGGCGTCGGCGTGGGCTTCTGACGCCGCGTGAACAAATCCAACCTTGAGCGGAGGCGGCCGGGACATGGCGCAGATCGCTCGGCCTCGGCGGATTCCGGGACACTGGCGGGCATGCGTTTTTGGAAGCCCGCGCCGGGGTCGCCGCCGCGTCGGCGCGAAGGGAAGAGGTCCTGATGGGAACGGGACCTGGACCCCGGCGCATCCCCCAGGACGAGCCAGTTAGCCCTCGAGTCCGCCGACCCCTCGTGGGTCTCTAAGCGTGTGAGATTGCCCCCCCCTATCACCCCCCCCCTAGGGACCCCGAACTGGCAATTCGACCCCCCCCCCCTTCGCCCTGCCCGACCCCGGACCAAACGCGCCACGGGGGAGTGGAGGGCCCCAAAACTGGTCAAAGAGGCACCAAAACGCTCCCCAGACGGTCCCCGGGGGCCACGATTCGCCGACATATCGCATCTAGACGCCCACGATGGCCTCGAGCCGGTATCCGAAGCTGCCACGACGCCACAAAAGGTCCCCAAGATGCGCCCCAAAACGGTCGCGAGAAACAAAAATCGGCCTTTCCCTTTTGAAAACCAAATCGTCCCTGCTCATTCTCCTCTTTCTTCTCCGATGACCCTCCTCCCCGCCTCCTCCTCCTCTTCCGCTTTCTCCTGCTTGGTTTTCCTCATTAATCGATTTCGTCCTCCCTCTCGCTCTCACCCCCGTTTGTCGTACTTCTACGGATCGTGGCACCGGCGCTCGCATGGGTATCATTTGCATGCGTTGCATTTCAGGGTGCCCTTCTTTTCGTCGCGCGCGACATTGCTACTGTCCACGGAGGGGGGCCCCCCACCCAAAGAAACAAGACAACACAAGTACGCCCCAGGACAGTGGAGCTCCCTATGGGGCCACGAAGCATTGTTCTGGGTGGGGGAACCGCATGCGGACTGCGCCACTGGGACCTTCGGTGGAGCTCCCTATGGGCCACGAAACGCTGTAATGGGTAAGGTAGACGCATGCGAACTGAGGAGGCGGGAGGGGGTGGAGGGGTGGAGGGGGAGGAGGAAAGAAAGAGGGACGCGGGGTGCTGTCTTGTCAAAACGGGAACTCAACACCACAGCATGGTTAGGAACAACAGAAATTACCAGGTTGGGGCAAAACCTTCAGTAATGTGTGTGAGGCCCGCGAGCACGTTGCATTGTTCTTGACAGGGACGGCGGGGGTGTTAGCATATTGCCTGCTGCGCGCAGGGCTACCATCCCTAACACATTAGCCTGGCGAAGTACCCAACCAGATGCAGCTTCGAGGAATGCAAGGTGCTACCTTTTCCTCATAGGTAGCGCGCCGCGGCACGGATGGCGCGCGGGGCGGTGCAACTGGCGGCCACGGAACGCGTCAGGGATGCGCCAAGGGGGGGGGTGGAACTGCATGCGGGCGCTGCCACTGGGGCATTCGGCGGAACCCCCGATGGGACATCAAAAAATGCAAGGGTGCTCCTTCTGGGGCCACGAAGCGTGTGAGGGGTGCGCCAAGATGTGGGTGGAACTGCATGCGGGCGCTGTCACTGGGGCCTTCGGTGGAGCTCCCATGGGGCCACGAAACGTGTGAGGGGTGCGCCAAGATGGGGGTGGAACTGCATGAGGGCGCTGCCACTGGGGCCTTCGGTGGAACCCCATATGGGGCCACGAAACGTGTGAGGGGTGCGCCAAGATGGAGGTGGAACTGCATGCGGGCGATGCCACTGAGGTATTCGGTGGAGCTCCCATGGCGCCACGAAACATGTGAGTGGTGCGCCAAGATGGAGGTGGAACTGCATGCGGGCGATGCCACTGGAGCCTTCGGTGGAGCTCCCATGGGGCCACGAAACGTGTGAGGGGTGCGCCACGATGGGGGTGGCACTGCATGCTGGCGCTGCCACTGGGGGTTTCGGTGGAGCTCCCTATGAGGCCACGGAGCGTATGAGGGGTGCGCCAAGATGTGGGTGGAACTGCATGCGGGCGCTGTCACTGGGGCCTTCGGTGGAGCTCCCATGGGGCCAGGAAACGTGTGAGGTGTGCGCCACGATGTGGGTCGAACTGCAAGCGGGCGCTACCAATGGGGCCTTCGGTGGAGCTCCCATGGGGCCACGAAACGTGTGAGGGGTGCGCCACGATGTGGGTGGAACTGCATGCGGGCGCTGCCACTGAAACCTTCGGTGGAGCTCCCATGGGGTTCACGGATCGCGTGAGCAATGCGCCAAGGTGGGGGTGGAACTGCATGCGGGCACTGCCACTGGGGCCTTCGGCGCAGCCCCCGATGGGACATCGAAAAGTGCAAGGGTGCTCCTTCTGGGGCCACGAAACGTGTGAGGGGTGCGCCAAGATGGGGGTGGAACTGCATCCGGGCGCTGTCACTGGGGCCTTCGGTGGAGCTCCCATGGGGCCACGAAACGTTTGAGGGGTGCGCCAAGATGGGGGTGGAACTGCATGCGGGCGCTGCCACTGGGGCCTTCGGTGGAGCTCCCATGGGGCCACGAAACGTGTGAGGGGTGCACCACGATGTGGGTGGAACTGCATGCGGGCGCTGCCACTGGGGCCTTCGGTGGAGATCCCATGGGGTTCACGGAACGCGTGAGCAATGCGCCAAGATGGGGGTGGAATTGCATGCGGGCGCTGCCACTGAGGCCTTCGGCGGCGCTCCCGATGGGACCACGAAACGTGTGAGGGGTTCACCGAACTAGACATGCGGAGGGCAGAGGCAGGGATGGGAGGAGGGAGGGGGCAGCGGGAGTGAGTGAGGTGACGCGGGGCGCTGTCTCTCAAAAACGAGGACCCAACACCACAGGATGGTTGGGAACAATTCTCCAAACGAAAAAAACAAGCATATGCAGCTGCGAATACCGCGAGGCAGATGAGACGACGGAGTGGATCCAGCAAAAGGCATGCAAACACCACCGATGGGGCCTTCGGTGGAGCTCCCTATAGGGCCACGATCCTCGTGAGGGGTGTGCCGAACTGGCCGGAGTCCGGCATGCGGACCCTTCCACTGGGCCTTCGGCGGAACTCCCTATGGGGCCACGCTCCTCGTGAGGGGTGTGCTGAACTGGCCCGAGTCCGCCATGCGGACCCTGTCAGTGGGGCCATTCGGTGGAACTCCATGTGGGGCCGCCATCCTGGTGAGGGGTGTGGCGAACTGGCCCGAGTCCGCCATGCGGACCCTGCCACTTGGGCATTCGGTAGAGTTCCCATGGGGCCACGATCCTCGTGATGGGTGTGCCGAAGGGCCCCGAGAAAGACCAAGAGGGAGAACACGAACCGAAAATCCGATCTTTCCGCCCCAAGAGGCCACCCCAAAGCCCCAAGAAATCCCCAAGCGGTCCAAGAGAAGCCTCCGATGAGTCCCAAGAGGCCCCCAAGAGGTCCGGAAAAGACCTTCAAACTGCCCCCAAGGCGCTTCACAACTGCTTCCGAGCGGCTCAATCAGGCCCCCAAGCTGCTCCCAAGACGCCCACAAGAGACCCCAAATGGTGCCCAATCGTTGACTCCACGCCTCTCCTGGGGGCCGGCGGAATGGCGTGAGTCCCTTGGGTACTGAGGCCCAGTCTGAATTTGTATGCGAACTCCCGCTGCCGACATCCCACGAACACTGGGCCGTCACAGCGCAGGGTGTGCCGAAACGTCGGCATACCCGAGCTGCGGCGGACTCGAGTCCTACGTTTCCCATGAGACAAGGCGGTCAAGGCCCAGCATGGCGAGAGCCTGCCGCTGCCGTCGAAGTCGAGCTGCTCGAGCAGCGTCTGCACCTGCTGCAGCGTGGTCGCTATGCCGAACCACCGGAGCACGCGGCCCGTCGCCAGCGTGTCGAGCCCCTCCATGCCCGCCGCGTCGGCCTGGAGACATTGTTTGGATTATTGTTCGGCGATGATCCGTGTTATCCCTTTGGAGGGCAACAGAGCCCAACATCGAATCGACAAGACGGACCTGCGATCGGAATCCACCAAATCAGCATAAATCGGCAACCAAACCTGGAGAAGTCGAATCGGCGGAGATCGGTAGGCTAGTAAGACCTCCATTGAGAAACCGAAGTCCCAATTGGAATCTCAAGTCGGATCGAATCAGAATCGATCGGGCTCGAATCCAAACGAGTCGAAAATATCAGCTTGACCTGGATGAAGGGAGGCTGCAACCGAAAAACTCTGACCTTTTAGCTTTGGGCAGCTCCACGTGTGCCCGCGCGCACCAGTACTGTACTGTGACCCCCTTCGGAGCTGCGCAACCGACAGGGTCAGGTATCGGGGGGGGGGGGAGCGGGCGGGCCCCACAACCTGGGCTATCGCCGGACCCTGAAACAAAAAGTCTCCTGCGACTGCTCCATGAACGCCCTCTCGAACTCCTCGATCTCCGCGTTAGTGAAGCCCTCCACCTGTGAGGGAAAACGACAAAAGGGAACGTCAGGGGAAAGTTCGAGGTTCGAGGTTCTCGGGCGTTGTCGTAGGTTCTCGACGGCTCTCCAGCCTCGGGATGGACTCCAACCCTAGCGCACCTCCCAGATACGCCACCACTGCCGTATCCCCAGATACGCAAACCCCCAATTCTAAACCCGAAACCAACCCCAAACCCCAATCTCTAAAACCGACCCTAAACCCTAAACCCGAAAGAACACCCCAGCGGCTGCGTCATCACAACGAGGGCGTTCCGGGGGCGCCAGGACCTTCTTGAACGGCCGCCGGAGGCCCGAGTGATGCCCCGAAAGCCACTAGGGGGGCAGCGAGAGAGCGCGCCCGTCGCACACTCCCAAAGGGGGGGGGGGGGGGGCCCTCTAGCTAACCCCCCCCCTGGACCTCCGCTGCCGGGAGCCCTCCCCCTCCCCCTTTCGCGCTCCGGAGGCTACAACCTCATCCCCCCTCTTTCCAAGGGGGGGGGGGCTTAGCACCCCCCCTCCCCTCCGTGAACCTCCCGTCGGGAGCCCCCCCCCTCCCCCCTCCCCCCTCTTTTTGTTCTGCCCGTGGAAGCCCCTCCCCCCCTTTTCGAAAGGGGGGGCTTCTCTACGCCCCCCCCCCCCTTTGAACCTTCCCTGCCGGACGCCTCCCCCCTTTTCCCCCCTTTCACCCCTTTTTAGCTAAAGGGGGAGGGGGCTTGGACTGGAAGGCCCCCCCTTTGGCCAAAGGACTGGGCGCCGAAGACCTAAAGGGCGGAGAAAACCAACAGAGCGCCGAATAACAAAGGGCCACCGAAAACCGAAAGGGCGCCAAAAACCAAGGTGGCGCAGAAAACCAAGAGAACGCCGACAACCAAAGGACGCCGACAACCGAAGGCGCGCAGAAAACCAGAAGGGCGCCGAAAACCAAAGGTGCGCCGAAAACTAAAGGAGCGCCGAAAACCAAAGGGGGCCGAACACCCAAAGAGTGCCGAAAGGCAAAAGGGCGTCGAAAACCAAAAGGCGCCGAAAACCAAAAGAACACTGAAAACCAAAGATGCGCCGAAAACCAAGAAAGGCTCCGAAAACCAAGCGATGGCCAAAAACCGCAGATGCGCAGAACAACAAAAAAAGCTCCGAAAACCAAAGGTGCGCCCAATACCAAAGAGGCACCGAAAATCCAAAAGAGCGCCGAAACCCCGAAGGCACCGAAACCACAGGGTCTTCAGAACGACGCCGAAAACAAAAGCGGCGCCGAAAACCACAAGGACGCCGAAGACAAAACGGTCGCCAAACGCTCAAAACGCACCGAAAACAAGAACGGTGCCGAAAACTAAATGGGCGTCGGAAACTAAAAGGACATCGAAAACCAAAGGGGCGCCGAAAATCTAGAAAGGGCACCGAAAACCAAAACGGCGCCGAACACCCAAAGGAGCGCCGAAAACCAAAGGGGCGCCGAAAATCACAAGGGCACCGAGAACCGAAGGAGCGCCGAAAACCGAAAGGGCGACGAAAACCAAAGGTGCGCAGAAACCCAAGGTGGCGCAGAAAACCAAAGGGGTGCGAAAACCAAAGAAGCGCCGAACAAAAGGGCGCCGAAAACCAGAAGGGCGCCGAAAAGGTGCGCCGAAAGCCAGAGGAGCGCCGAAAACCAAAGGGGCGCCGGAAACCAAGAGGGCGCCGAAAACCAAGAGGGCGCCGAACACTCAAAAGGCGCGGAAAACCAAAAGGATCGCGGACAACCAACGGGGCGCCGAAAACCAACGATGGGCCGAAAACCAAAAGGGCGCCGAAAAACCAAAGGGGCGCCGAGAACCGCAGGGGCGCCGAGAACCGCAGGGGCGCCGAAAGCCAAAGAGACGCGGAAAACCCGAGGGGCGCTGAAGACCAACGGGGCGCCAAGGGCCAAAGGGGCGCCGAAAACCAAAGGGGCGCCGAAACTCTCAGAAGACAAATGGCTTCGGCGCCCCCCCCCCTTCAGCCAGGGCCCTCCAGCCGGAAGAGCCAACAGGAGGGGATCTCTTGTAAAGCCCCCCACTTTGGAAAGGGGGGCCTGGGCTGACCCCGGGCTCAGAGGGGGGGAAGGGGGGGGGGGGGCAGCTTCCAAGCCCCCACAGCCCCCCGTTCAGCCAGGCACCCCCCAGCTGCCAAGTCCTCCCGTACCCTTGAGCTAAGGGCCCCCCCCAGCTCAAGAACGCCCACACAGAACGAGGGGAGGGGAGGGGGGAGCTCCGGAAGCGCCCGCCATTCCCAAGGGAGGGGGGGGTAACCAGCCTCGAACTTATCCCTATCCCAGAGATTGACACGCCAAAAGGCGATGACAATCTTAGGGATGCACCCTCAGAACCTGAGGGAATCCCAGAGATCGCCATCGTGACGAGGCGATGCCCAACATAGGGATAGGGATAGGTTCCAGGCCGGTAAGGGGGGGAGTAGCTCGAAGCTGGGGCCCCTCTTGTAGCAGGGAGTGTCTGACCAGTCTTCGGCGGTGGGCAAAGCTCCCTTTCATAGACCTCCCCTCAGCGAAAACGGCCCGGTGCCGAAACCGACGGACCCGGACCCGCAGACGGCCGCGACGCACTCTCGCGAACCGAAAAACGGCCAATTCCTGAATCGACGTGTCAGGGTAGGAGGTCTGTCCACCCCCAAAAGATAGGCCTCCGACCGCACATCCGCACGCTCCTGGGCTGGGCGGGCTGTCAAGCACGTGTCAGCGATCCGTGGGCGATTCGGGGTCGATGCCTTTCCCCCCTGAGCGTTCCCCCCCCCCCTCCAGCTATAACAAAGGCTTCGTGGGGTTTTCCCGTGTGGACCAAGCATTTGATGCCCAGCCCTGGGATCTACGAGGGGGAGGCGTCCATCCTGGATAGGGGTGCGTCTGCATAGCCCCCTGGGGGCGCATCCCAGGGTTTTCCTCCTTCTCTCAGCCGCTTCATTTTTCGTCGAACGGTCGGGGATTGGGATGGAAACATCACCTGCGACCAACGTTGCCCCTGAACCAGGGCAGCCTACACGGTGGCTTGAGCACGCAGGCCCGCAGCGCGGCACAGCGCAAGGAGAGAGAGAGGGAGAGAGAGAGTCTCGGGCGTTGGCAGGACTGGGTCGAGGGGGACTTGGTTTAGTGTTGTTGAATGGGGGACGTCCCTCCGCCCCATTCCACCAACCAGAACTGCTGCGACCCGAAGAACCTTGGTGTCGTGATTCTGCCCGCTCCAGGGCCAAACCACTAACAGGCTCCCCTCGACAAGGAGCTCTGGCCACGCGGGCCGCCAGCGCCGCACGTCGCAAGGAGCAGGGGAGAGACAGGGAGAGAGAAGGCGCCCACGCGCGACCTTGAACAGCGAACCTTCGCGCGAATATCAGCGCGGTCGCCCCCCCCTCGCGTTCTACGTCGCTCACCTTCCGGTAATCACCGTGCTGTACCCTCGACTCTCGAAGATTGGCCAGGGCATGATGGCCCAACATCGGATCGCAAACTGAATCGGCCATCTGAGCACATCGAATCGGCAAGAGGCAGACTGGCAAGCATCGGAATCGACGTCCGCTGGCCCAGGCCGAGGCACGCAAGGGAAAAATTAAAATCGAAATCGGCATCCAGAATCGAATCGACTCGGAATCGGTGTCCTCGAAACCGAATCGATTCGAATGGGCAGAGTCGAAATGGCCCCTGGCAGGGAGTTGTCTGCTAGCGGTGGCGGTAAGATTCATATGTTTGTAATCGGGGGGCCGTTGAAAGCCTCCTGACGCCTTTTGGCCTGCTTCAGGGGTCCAGATCCGAAGCTTCTGGGGCCCCCCAGGACCTCCACCTCAGGGCTCGACCAAAACAACGTGTTGCATTTCCGTCTGGACTTAATTCAGCAGCGACATGAGAGCAATCTGAGAATTCCTGGCCTAGTCGCGATAAGCTCTGAATAGTACCCTGAACGAGTAGCAACCCGAAAACATAATCAAAACGAGACCTGGCCAAGAAATAGCCCTACCAATAGGCAGCGTTTCGATCGACCCACACTTCGCCTTCCGGTACTCGCGCAGGAAGATAGCCAGCTCGTCGACGGTCAGCGTGTCCTCCTCCTCAACCTCGTCGAACTTGTCGAGGCACTCGAAGATGGCCTCCTCAGACACCATGTAGCCGAAGTCGGCGAGCACGGTCGAAAGCTCCGAGATGGGGAAGGTCTGATTATCCGCCCCGTGCTTTGACGCGAGGGCGCTCAGAGAACTGCGCTCCCGCTCGCGAATGCGACGGATGATCTTCAAAAGGTCCCCCCACGCCATTCCTTCGGACAAATCGCAATCCAAGTCGGTCGTCCGGACAATCTGGGAGAACTCATGCTCCGCGATGGGATAGCCCAGGTAGTTGCATATCCGCCAGCACTCCTTGATGGTGTTCGCGCCGCTCGTGGTGTTCTCCTTCACCTTCTCGAACAGCTCCCTCAGCTCCTCGACGTCCGCCTTCGTCATGCCCTCGTTCTGCTGGAGGTAGTCCCTGAGGCCAATGAACTCCGAGAAGGACAGCACCGTGTTCATGTCGTGGTCTAGCTCCTGCAGGGCCTCGACCGTGGCCTGCTGGCTCAGCGCGAAGCCCAGCCTGTTCAGCAGCGCGTGCAACTCGGGCAGGTCCATGCTGCCGTCCTCAGGAAGTCGTCGGGCTTCGCACAGACAGCCCGCCCCCCCCCCCCCCCCCCCCCCGACAGCCCCAGCTGGCCTCAACTTACCAGCCCCGAACTTATCCCTATCCCAAAGATTGACTCGCCAAACGGCGATGACAATCTTAGGGATGCGCCCTCAAAAAATAAGGGAATCCCTAAGATTGGCATCGTGATGAGGAGATGCCCAGCATAGGGATAGGGACATGTTCCAGGCTGGTCATCAACAGGCCCTCCCGAGTCCCACCTGGCCCGGGCCCCCCGAACAGGCCGGGGCGGTCTCAGCACCCCATCCCTGGGGCGCGGAGCGCCCCGGGCTCGCCTCCAGACTCCAGAGGCGACGCTGGCTGGGACTACCTGGGAAGGGAGCGCCCGTGCGCAACCTGGAGCCTTCCCGTCCGTCCTTGTTGACGTCCGCCCCCAAGAACAACTCCCGCAGCTTGGAGCAGTCGAGCTCGTGGTACTGCCTGAGGAAATCCACGAACTCCTCGTAACTCACCGTGGAATACTGCGTCTGCTGCTGCGCCAGCTGCTCCGTGTCGCTGGCGCCTGGGCGGCACCCGAGGTGCTTCAACATGGCTGGCAAGTTCTCCTTGTGCACCTGTAAAGGAAACAGCATACCTGCGCTATGCATAAACATGAACTTTTGGAGCTCCGCGCGAATTCTCGGATCGCCGCTGGCACCCCCTCCCTGGCGCGCGGAGCGCGCCAAAGGCGGCGCTTTTGGCGAAGCCAAGGGGGCCCGGCGGCGATCCGAGAAATCCGCGCGGAGCCCTGAACATGTATGCTCACGTCTGCAGCATGTTCTTCCTCGAGCACCTCCCCGTCCCGGTCGTCGTCGAACTGGGAGAACGCCGACCGGATTGCGTCGTCGCTCCAGGGCAGGGCGACCTGGCCCTTGTCGCAGGACTTGCCCAAGCCATCTCCCGAGGCGGAGGACGGCGAGTCCGTGCGCTGAAGACTCGGCGAGCCGCCGGGCCCAGCCCTCTCCTTCCAGGGGCCTCCCGGAGGGTGTCCCAGCACTTGGGGTCCGAGGGTCGCGCCGCAGCGCCGGTGCACTAGCGGCGCGGCTCGATGTGGAGCCCGACGCCGACGTCGCCGACGCATCGCCAACGTCGCCGATGCATCGACAACGCATCGGCGATGCATCGGCGATGCGGCGCGGGCCTCCGACACCATCTACTCTGGCCCCATGAGGGAGGCCCGGATCCTTGACGACGGACTTCCTCCCCGGCTCCCTGCTGGGGCGCCTGCTCCCGTCCCTGCTGGGGCGCCGCAGGCCCGCGCTCGCGCGGGCCACTTGCCTGGGGAAGGCCCTGCCCGACGACCGCCGCGGAGAGCTCGAGGCCAGCCGCGCGGAGTTCTTCGCAGACTCGAGCACCTCGTGCGCCGAAGAGGAGGAAATGAAGGAGGAAGTGAAGGAGGAAGTGAAGGGGGAAGCAGGGGAGAGAAGGATGGAGAAAGGAGGAGGAGGATGATGATGATGATGAGGAGGAGGAGGAGGAGGGGGAGGAGGAGCAGGAGGAGGAGGAGGAGGAGGAGGGGAGGAGGAGCAGGAGGAGGAGGAGGAGCAGGAGCAGGAAGAGGAGGAGGAGGAGGAGGAGGAGGAAGAGGAGGAGGAGGGAGTCGGAGGGGGGAGGAGAAGGGATAAAAGGCTGGGGGGCAGGACGAGGAGGCAGGAGGAGGAGTAGGCAGCATCAAGGGGGAACCGTCGCGCCCAGCACTAACGGCCACCTGCAAACAGGCCCGCTGCCTCGGAGCAGGCCAAACGCTGCACGGCGAGCCCCTCACTGCCCACTCGAGGGATCTCGGCGGACGGGCGCGGCCGTGCTGAAAGAAACGCGAAGTGAAGCTCAGATAAGTGATCCATTCGCGAATTAATCATCCAATATGTATTAGGCGTCTGGACGAAGCCAGGCCACCTCTGGATCTGCCACCTGCACGCGCCGTTGTCCTGTGATGGACTCGTGGCGGTGGAGGTCGGCAGGGTGCTTGTTTTTGTTAAATATGCGAATATGTGACTGGCCACGCTTCGAGCATGGTGGAGGGGGGCAAGGGTCCAAAAAGGACGAGGCCCGCCCCGTAGAAATACCACCACAAACGAATCAGATCACAACTTTCCCTAGGTCCACGGAGAGGACGTGCCCTCTGGCGGAATTCGGAGGGAGGTCCCCATTCGCAGGCAGCTCGTGCTCAGGGCGCACGCTAGGGACAACGGAGCCCCCACGAGGAACCACGCGACGCGACTTACGCGGTGACTCTTGGGCAGGAGGGGAGGAGGAGCGTCAGAGTCGGTCGGCGGCGGCAGCGACAGCTTCGTCGGCGCCGCTCCTGAGCCCCACCCTCCTCACGCCATTATTCGGGAAGGCGTCAGAGGCAAGCCGAGCTGAGCGCACCGGCGGTGCCTCTTCCCTCCTCGGCCGAACAGCTCTGGGGAGCTCGAGTGCCCCTCCAGGAGACCTCGAGCGCTCTCGGGTCCAAGTGCCCATCCCCCGCCCACGCCCCCCACCCCTCCAGAGGACCTCGCAGAGGCAGAAACTTCGGCTGGGCAGAGGCGCTCGGCGTGGAGCCTACGCTGCTGGTCGGAACGGGCGCCACCTCCGTGCCCGGAATTCCTGGCTTCCCCGTCGGCCCCCGCGGCCTTCGACTGACGACGGCGACGACGCCCGTCAAAACGTTTCTGGCCTGGGAAGAAGGTTTGGCCCATATACAGAGCGCGTGCCTTGGCCATCCAGACTGGCGTTCTCTTCACAGAGCGAAAACGCGCTTTGACAGCGTGGGCCTGGGCCTCAGGAACAGAGTGAAGGTCTCCACCTTGAACGGCGGCAAAATCGCCCCAACGGTTCCCAGGGGGCTCAATGGAACAACCTTTCTCATGGCCAGGAGTGGAAGCAATCTGCAAATCAGGGCTCAGTCCTCCAAGGTCCTCAATCCTCGTCCAGATGTCCGCCCGCAGGTCGGCGTTGGGGCGCATCGGGGCACGGCGCCACGCCTGTCCGCGGCTGAGTCCCCGTGGCAGACGATGACATCCGCAAGCGCCCGCCCTGGCAGCGCACCGTGCACGCGCCAAGTAACTGCGGCATCGGAAACTTGAGCGAACCTCCATCCTGCACGGCAAGCGTCGTTCCAGAACTGATACATGAGGCGAACTCCATCAGCAAAAACCGACCCCGACACAAATGAACAATCTCCGTAAAGAGAACGCCACTCCATCGAGTCGTCTCGCGGGGGTATCTGGGGCAGCAGGCCAGCTTGCACGTGTATTTCGACCTCTCCCTCGTTCGGTGTCCTCCTTCGTATGTGTTTCATTCGATTCGATTCGGATTCCCTCGCCGCAACCTAGTGTCACGGGTCCAAAGGGCTCTGGACGACCAAGATAGAGTAGGAAGGAGCTATCACTTACTGTGAGCTCGCACAACACCTCAATGACTGGACACAGTCACCCCAAGCAAAAACGGCTACCTGCAGTGCAATGCACAAGGGGGAGACGAATAAAGAAGAGAACCCCAGGCGCCCCCACAGGCGGGGGAACAAGGACATCAATCCTGCGAGGCTGACATATACTTCGAGCCTTTGGGCCTGATTAATTTGGCTTGTCTCTCTGCCCTGTCCGCTCAATTTTCTACGCTGGCCGCGTCTAGCTTGACGCACTCTTCCTCATCGTGGTACGCTCCAGCTCAATTGCTTACGTTCGCCCAGCGCAACAAAAAATGAAGGAGGAAAACAAAGAATAAACATTAGCCTGGGGAAAACGGGTCCTGAGAGAAACGGGTCATGGACCCAGGAGCCTCCCCCCAGGACGAATTTGCCTTCCTGAGGCCCGGGGCCCGTGGAGGGCCCCGAGAGCCCGAAACAGACGAAATTCCTCAGGACCCGCGGCGAAAGCGGCGGCGAAGCAGGGAGGAGGGAGGAGGGAGGAGGAAGGGAGGAGGGAGGAGAAGAAAGACTTTGGAGGAGGAAGGAAGAATATGGAGGAGGAGGAGGAGGAAGAGGAGCAGGAGTATGGAGGAGAAGGAGGAGGAGGAGTATGGAGGAGGAGGAGGAGGAGGAGGAGGAGGAGGAGGAGGAGGAAGAGCATGGAGGAGGCTGCAGGAGGCAAGCGAACGAGCGCCTCCTCCTCCTCGGGGCCCTGCGCCGAGGACCTGCGCGAGGCCCCCTCCTCGGGGCCCGCCTCGACCTCCGCGGCCGCCGCGGCCTCCTGCGCCCGCGCGCGCCGCACGGGCAGCCGGGGGCCCTGCCGGTACGGCTGGAAGCTGGAGCCCTGCCGCCGAGCGCCCCGGTCCTCTGGGATGGCGCGGGGGGCTCTCCCCGCCCCCCCCGGGGTCCGAGAGCCCCTCGAGCAGCGGAGCAATCACGACGGGAGGAAGAGAAGGAGAAGGAGAAGCAAGAGGAGGAGGAGGAGGAGGAGGAGGAGGAGGAGGAGGAGGAGGAAGAGAGGAGAGGAGAGGAGGAAGAGGAGAAGGGGAGGAGGAGGCAGAGAAGGAGGGAAGCGGGAGGAGGAGGAGGAGGAGGAGGAGGAGGAGGAGGAGGAGGAGGACATGCTGTTCACGATGTTCGGTCTCGGGGGGCCCTTGCCGGGCCTCGGGAGCGTCAAGAAACGACCCACGATGGGAACCCGGTCCCGGGGAAGGGGTCGAGACCTCTGGGGGTCGACGTGATGAACAAATCATGACGTCGGGGGTCTGGGGTTAGGAACAAGAACAGGGCGGGAAACTTGCTATTTTGTTCTACCTTCGGGGGCCCCCGCAACCGAGGCCGAGTGGATGGGGTCGGAGGATCGCTCCGCATCGTCAATACATCGGCGATGCATCGGCGATGCACTGGCGATGCTTCGGTGATGCACTGGCGATGCATCGGCGACGCCGACGATGCATCGGCGATGTCGGCGAGGAAACTAACGGGCTCCGCATCGAGCAGCATCAAGCAGTATCGGCGATGTCTCGGCGATGCGGCGCGATCCATCGACCCCATCTACTCGGATCACACCTAGGAGGCCTTGACGCAAGGCCCCCGGACCGTATAAAAAGGAACATCTCAAGACGATTGAACCATTCCAGGGGAATGGGTCGGCAGAGATCACGACGTCGGGGGTCTGGGGTCCCTGAGATCCAGGGTTGCACTTGTTTCACACTGGGCGCTTTCGCCCAATGTCGGGTCCTAGAGACCTCCGCAGGTCGCCCCTGCGCGAAGAATGACGCGGAAAGATGGGATCCAGGGCTCCCCGTTCGTGATGTCTGACATGTTGCCTTTCTCTGCAGCGTCGGATCTCGGGGGTACGCCGACTCCGATCTCGGAGGGCGCCAATTATGAGCCCCTGTATCTGTGCTTCGAAGATCGTGCGAACGCTAGCACGGCTTTGAGATCCGTGGATCTGGCGCGTGGGCGCTGGATCCATGGATCGGTGACCGTACCGCCCAAAACATCAAACCAATGACGCCTCACTTGGCGACGGAATGCGCCGATTCCGTACGGGAACGGGGGCCCGTGGCTCATCCACGCGCCCGAACCCATGTTGAACCTTCCTCGAGCGATAACGCGCGTTAACAGCCCCTCCTCCCCCCTTCTCCCCCCCCAGCGGTAACGCCGCCAAGATTCGCGCGGGCGCCGTCTGGGACTTAGCCGTTCCTCAGCATTCCCAAACGGCGACGGCGCGAATCGTGACGTTATCACCCCACCCACCTCCACCCCCCCTTTGGTAACGCCCGTGATCGCCAGGGGATAACAGATTGTCTTATACACCTGCGCCGATCCTGGCCAGGCCAGTGCTGGGCCCAGGAATGCCCTCTCCAACGAGCCAGGAGGGCGTGTGCACCAATCCTGGGCCAAGGGTGGGCCTGGCCAGGATCGGTGTGGGTGCATAGTTGGGGCCCCTGCCCTTGAGGGAGTAATGACAAGATACTGATAGCTACTGCTTCTCCACGGCCGTCTCCAAAGGTGCCTTCTACCCAGAATCCCACAGACAGGAAACGGCCGTTGCGAGAGGGCTCTCCAGGACGAGCAGCGGCACTGGTACCTTCTCCTCCTCCGATGTTCGGGGGGGACGATTGGGTAGAATAGTAAGGGGCACGGTAGGGAATCCGCCCTTGTAACTAGGCTGGTTTTCCTGGCGCCTCCTGGCCGCCAGGAGGCGCCCATGCATCGAGGAATGGCCCCAGCAGCGGGGCGGAAACCAGCTGCGTACATGGCAGATGTTGTACCCCCCCCTTCCCTCGGGGACGCACTGACCCGGGTCAATGCAAACCCGGGTCAGTCAGACGTTGCAGGATCCTGCAGGAGTCTGCAAGCTCCTGCGCGCAAGCCCGGGTCAATGCAGCCCTGGCTCTGCGGGATCCCGCAAGATCTGGCGCTCTGGCGGACCCCGCTTGCAGCGACCCCCGTCGCTTGAGCACCGACTCCCCTGTCCTGCCCTTTCTTGGCGGCGTTTAAAAGATGGTAGGGGGAGGGGGGAAGGCTTCTTAGAAGCACCCTGCTTCTTAGAAGGCCTCGGCCTTACGTCTATAGAGAAGGCCCGCGCCTCCTAAGAAGCAGGGGTGCTTCTAAGAAGCCCTCCCCCCTTCCCCCACCCCCCTCTGCGCGTGGCTGACCTTCGTCTGGCCCGGGATGTCCTCCCGCTGCGGGCAGGGCATCGCCAGCCCCATCTCGCCCAGCACGTCCGCCAGCGGCGGCAGCCGCTCCCCGGCCGGGGCCCGGCGCGGGTGCGCCCCGGCGCCGGGGTGCTCGGGCGCCACGAAGCCGAGGCGGCCGTCGGAGACGAACCGGAGGGCCCTGCCCTTCACCTGTCGTGCTAGGTCGGGCCTGTCCCCCTACAGGGGGGGCTCTGGGCAAAACATCTAAAACAGTCAAAACCTACCCCTAAAAATAGTCAAAAATGCTGGGAGCTCCACCGAGGGCGATACTCGGCGGTATTCAAAACTGCGTACCAATCCCACCAGCCCTCTGGGCGTAGGTGGTCTAGAGCAGATCCTCTTCCACCCCTCCCTCTTCCCCCTTGGGGAGGGGTTTACCCCTCCCCCTACCCCCTCCCCTGGACCTGGACGGGGGGGGCCGCGGGTAGTTAGAGCGTCCAAGATGGCCCAAGACGGCTCCAAGAGCGCCTCAGAGAACCCAAGATGAGCTCCAAGATGGCTCAAGATAGCGCAAGATCGCTCACGATGGCTCCTAAGATGGTTCCAAGAAGCCCAAAGACGGCCCCAAGATAACTCCAAGTGGCCAAACAGCTCCCCAAGGAGGCCCCGAAGAGGCCAAAATCGTCCCAAAACCTAAGGAAAATCAATGATTTTTGCTTTCTCGCCTTTTCGCTTCCGATGGCCATCCGAGGCCTGGAGATGGCTCCAAGATGGCCCAAGAGGGCCCCAAGAGAGCCCCAAAAGAGCCCCAAGACGGCCCCAAGAGCGCCCAAGAGCACTCCAAGAGCGTTCCAAGAGGGGTCCAAGAGGCGATTTTAGGGGCTTCCGAGGGGGGGCGCTAATTAAACCCCCCCTCTTGTTTGATCGACTCCCTCCAAGATGGCCCCAAAAGCGCCCCGAAGGCTCCCCAGAGCGCCTCAAGAGGGTCCCAAGAGGCGCCCAAGATGCCCCAAGGCGCCCAAAAAGCCCTCCAAGAGGCCCTCAAAAGACCCCCAAGAAGCTCCTTCCCCTCCTCCTCCTCCTCCTCCGATTCTTCCTCCTTCTCCGTCCTCCTCCTCCTCCTCCTCCTCCTCCTCTCCTCCTCCTCCTCCTCCTCCTCCGACGACGACGACGACGACGACGACTCCTCTTCCATCCTCCCCCTCTCGGGGTCTGTGACAGCTTCCCCCGCCCTTTGTTATTCTGCATGCTCCCCGACTTCCCTGATCACCTCAACTCCCCTGAGCATCGTTTCTGGATGGGCTGGTGGGGATACGCGAAGCGTCAACAATTGGGCCCGTCGCCAGGATAATCTCGTCCTGGATCCACTTCAATTGGCCCTGGGGATCCCATCCTCCGAACGCCGCGCACCAACGACCACTTTGGCAAAGGGATCACGCCTCTTTTGTGTGGACGCCCGCAATGGGGCACAACAACCATGGGTACGATGCCAATCAGTAAACTTCGCTAAAAACGAAAGCGGTCGCTGTTGAGCAGGCGCCTTTTCGCCTCGAATGAACACGGTCCGCGGCGACACCGACAACGAGTCCTGCTCAAAACGGACAGGAGTCACGCCAACAAAGCACCCTGATAGCAGCGACGGTGAAGAGGCGGGCCCGGGAGGAGGTCGGCTATAAGAGACAGGGCTGAGAGCACGGCTATGTGCACCTTCGTATATTTCAAAATACCGATCGGTCGTTGAAAGAAGAACTTTCTGGATTTCCAGATCCCAATCTACTTTCGCCGCCTTCCTACTTCGATGATCGAGTGGTTGTCCCTCTTCCCTCCTCTGCAGGCGGGCCCAACCTACTTCCAGCGCATTCCGACTTCACGGTTCTGCCTGGGCAGGGGTCGTGGCCGTCCCGACCAAACATCTACCTCGCACGGAAGCAAGGGAACACGACTCCCAAATGAGCTGCAAGGGTGTCTCGGGCGAGACACGGCAGCCGCACTGGGCGGTCCAGGGGGGACGGTCTCGGGCTCCCCGTGCCCCGTGGGACTCCACGATGTGGTACTCCGCCTTTCGGCGCCGAAGGCTACACTGCAGTGGAGGCCAGTCCACAAGAAGCCTTCCACGAGGAACCCAACCCTGAGGCCCCAGGACGTCCACTGATTTTTAATGTGGGAGCGCCACGCCTTCCACAGCAGAACCGTCGAAACCCAAGGCACCCTGGAGGCAAGCAGGGTGTCTGGGCATGGGCCTCCACTGCACTCTGTCTTTCGGCGCCGAAAGCTATGCTATGCTTTGCTAGACTGGTTGCCGTAAACGACTCCTCGGGAGACACAGGGCAACGAATTCTATAGTATAGGCGGCACTGCGATTCGTGACCAGGCGCTGTATCATTCGAGAGACAGCCGAGGTGGGACATCGACCCTCTTTTTGGCACGCGATCGTCTCAGACAGAAAAAACAGCAGCCCCTCCCTCTAGCGAAACGCTATACAGGGTACTCTCTGCGTGCACACTACTTGGTCATTACGGCGAGGCCGAAAACAACCAAAAACAACACGTCGTGATAGTTTCACGACGCGAAGATATCAGGGGGGATGGAGAGGGAGAAGGACGAGAAGAATGCGGAGGCGGAGGAGGCGGAGGATAAGGAGCTCCCCCCTTCCTCTCTCCCTCTGTCCCCCCTCCCTCCATGTTGCGAAGGGGAGGATGGGGGAGGAGGAAAAGAGGGTTGGATTGAGCAAGGACCGACCGTCCCAACAATTCTATAAGCCTACGAGTCGTTTTTCTTGAAACAAACGGTGGTTTAAACTAAGTACAAGACAGATGTATCATAAAACCGATGTATATAAAAAAACGCTTCAACGAGGAAGGATCCAACCAAACCTCGTGCAAGCCAAAGAGTGTTCGTACAGCATTCGCTGGTGGGTCTATAGCGAAGCAACCATCGCGACGGGAGCCCCCACCCCACCTCGCAATGCATCATGTTTCGAGCCGGCTCGAGCTGCGAAGGTCCCGGGACCCGAAGTTGGGCGCAAAGGAAGCCGCTGTGAAAAAATTGCAACGCCTCGGGCTCTTCCCCCCGAGGAGCGAGGAACCAATGAGAATCGTTCAACCGATCCCCATCCCCGGCGGCGTGGCCTGGGTCCCACTGGCAGATTTACCCCCCGTAGATGGGTATATATAGGTCGTTCCCTTTCGGGTTTCGAGGGGTGTATCCCCAACTGGGGGGGTAATCTGGTGGGGGTCTCGAAGGGGATGGGGATGGGGATGGGGATTGGTTAAACGATACCGAAGCGAGGAGCCAAAGGGACCTCCTCGCGGCGCACGCGGCGCTCGCCCACCGACACCGTGCACAGCGTCTGCGCCGCGCGCAGCGGCGAGCTGCGCGGGCGGCCGCCGGCCTTCGCGGCCCGGCCGGAGCGCGAGGCGCCGAAGAAGCTGCCCTGGGTCAGCGCGGGCAGGCTGCTCGCCTTGGGATTGGCCGTGAGCTGCTGGGGGATCCACAGGCGGGGGGGCCAGTCGCATCGCGCCAACGGGCGGCGTCGGTCTCGTCATGGCTACGGCGGAAGGCGGGCACCTCGGGCTGCTCCCCAGGTCCTGCCCTGCCCGTTCCGCGCCGACCTTCTCGGCAAGCCCGCGCGTCCTGCGACTCTAGTTCTCGCACGCGACAAGCGTTCCCTTGGGAACGCTTGCCTTTGCCTCCGGGCGAGAGCGGGCGCGGCAGCGAGGTCGCTGAGAGGAGGGCCGCGTTGGCCGCTGGAGCGGCTCGGGTCTTCGAGCCGCTCCTTTGGCTCATGTAGTGGAGCCTGATTGTGGCCTCTAGGCCCGCCGTGGCCAAAAAAGCGTCCTCTTTCCTTATGATGCGTTCCTTCTGGTAACACGGTGACTGTAACGGGCGTCACCGCGGGGGTGGGGGAGGGGGAGGGGGCCGGTAGCGTCACGTTTCGCGCCGGCGCCGTCTGGGAGCGTCCAGGAATGACGAGAGACAACTCGGAGGTCAGCACGGATCGTGACGTTACCTGGGGGAGGGGGTTGGACTGCCGGGGCCGGGAACGGCTGCATCGCGAAACATAACAACAAACGCCCCTGAGGGGCAACGATACGTCCATCGTGCTACCCTGAGGAACGCATCGTAGGAACAAAGGGGCGTTTCTTGCCACGCAGGGCCTAGGCCACTAGCAGGCTCCACGACATGAATCTAAGGAACGGCCCGAAAACCTGAGCCCCTCCTGAGCCCAAAGCGGTCTTTCTGTCAGCAACCTCACTGTAGGAGGGGAACGAGAACTGGTCTTGCATCAGGAGCGATGGCTTCCATGACTGGCCCTGCCACCCCAATCCCTCCCCGCCCTTCTTGGTCACGTATAACGATTCGCGCCGGGGCTGTGTGGAATTGGCCAGTCCTACGCACAAACGGCGCCGGCACGAATCGTGACGTGACTGGCCCCTCTCCCGCCCCCCGTCGCGCCCGCTGTCGCCAAGGGGGAGAGATTCGAAGCTCGAGGGTTTCAGTCGATTTCCCAGGTTCTCCGCTGCTCTCCGACCTCGGGATGCTCTCCCGCAGCCGCGCCCCACCGCCGAGCTGTGGCTTAGGTCGGGCATGTCTCCCTACAGGCGGAGTGTGGAAGAGAAAACACAAATAATCAAACAATGCTCAGGGACAGTCCAAAAGAGTCCAGATATAGTCCCCAAACTACTGTTGTCTGCTTTCCCTAACGCTCCTCCTGTAGAAGAGCACGCCCGACTTACGCTATGTGGCCCGAAACCCGGACGAGGATCACCTGGGGGCCGTTTTTTTACCGGTTCCGTTTTGCCGTTTCTGTTGCCGGTTCCGACGCCGTTCTTTTACCGGCTCCGTCGCCCTTCTTTTACGGGTTCCCGCTCCAGTTCCAATCCTGGAGCCGTCTTTGCTGCCGTTGCCGATCGCCGTTTTCTTGCCGTTTCCATGTTCAAGGGGCACTTTTTCGGACACGGTGAAAGAACGGCCCTGCCGTTTCCGGGGCCCACTGAGGCCCTGGGTTTCTTGAGTTTGGGATTCGATGGTTCTGCTATGGAGAGCGCGACGCTCCCACGCCATTTCTCAGAGGACGTCCTCGGGTCTCGGGCTTGGATTTCTTGTGGAAGGTCTCTTGTGGACCGGCCTCCACTGCAGGGAGGGGAGGGCAACAAGGGCCCTGGAGCCTGGGGGGACCAGCTCACGGGGGGGGGGGGGGGGACACATCGAGCTGGAGTGGGCGATGCACGTCGCCGATGGGTCGGCGGCAGGCCCCCGATGGCAAAAACGCGCTCATGGACGGGGGGAGGGGGAGGGGGAGGAGGGAGGGAGGGGGGGGGGGAGGGAGGAGGGAGGGAGGGAGGAGAGGGGAAGAGGAGGAGAGAAGGGAGGAGGAGGAGGCGGGAGGAGGGATGAGGAGGAGGAGGGAGGGGGAGGGAAAAAGAGGAGGAGGAGGGAGGAGGAGGAGGGGGGAGGAGGGGGAGGGAAAAGGAGGGGGAGGGAGGAGGGGGAGGAAGAAGAAGGAGCGAGGAGGAGGAGGGAGGAGGAGCAGGGAGGAGGGAGGAGGAGGGAGGAGGGAGGAGGGGGTCGCCGCGTCCCCGCCCCGAGCCTCCCCGCCCCCCTGACGTGACGCCCCTGCTCGCCTGCCCCAGCCGCGCCATCGCGGCGCGCTCGCGCGCGCGCGCCCCGGGGGCTTGCGCTGCCCCAGGCCTCCGACGCCCGACTTCTCTGGGCAAGGAGGAGGAGGAGGAGGAGGAGGAGGAGGAGGAGGAGGAGGAGGAGGAGGAGGAGGAGGGGAGGGAGGGAGGGAGGGAGGGAGGGGAGGGAGGGGGGGAGGAGGAGGAGGAGGAGGAGGAGGAGGAGGAGGAGGAGAGAGAGGAGGGAGGAGGGAGGGGGAGCGGCAGTCCTTGGCATTCCTCGGCACTCCTCGGCACCCGTCGTCGTCGTCGTCGTCGTCGTCGTCGTCGTCGTCGTCGTCGTCGTCGTCGTCGTCGTCGTTGGTCGTCGTCCGCCAGTCGTCGTCGCCGCTGCCGCCGCTGGTGTTGTCGTCGTCGATCGTCGGCCCTCTTCCCCACCAATTCCCAGGCGTCGCCGCTGGGCGTGCCACTCGCAGCCCCGTGCCGAATTTAACTATTGCTAATTCTTGTCGTTTCGCGTGCCCCAATTGTGGCCTCCCGTGGCTTCCACTTGCCATTTCATCGTGGCCCCCAATCGTGACCCCCCGTCGTGGCCACCATAAGTGTGTACAATCTGTTTAGAAAATTCTGCCGCAAAACTGCCAGGTTCAATCCGCATCTTTTGGGGAATCCCGAACGTGTCGAACGGCACGAGGAAGGTGAAGAGGAGGAGGGAGAAAGCAAGAGAGGAGAAAGGAAGGAACGGACGATGACAAGATGATGAAAAGTCGAGCTTTTGCGATATGTTGTTGTAGACGGTTCTTTGAGGACTCCGAAGTCATCCTCGCAATTCTGACCTCGGGGATGCCCTGCCCCATGGTGGTCGGGCCACTTTCGCCTGAGATATCCTCGCAAATCTAGATTCCTGCATTCCCTGAGTCCAGGTGGTCCAGCCACTTCCGCCTGAAACATCCTCGCAATTCTGACCTCGGAGATGCCCGTGGTCTGACCACTTTCGCCCGAGACATCCTCGCACTGTTGGGTTCCGAGATGCCCAGAGCTCAGGTGGTCTGGCCACTTTCGCCTGAGACGTCCTCGCACCTCTGACATCGGAGATGCCCTGCCCCATGGTGGTCCGCCCTCTTTCGCCTGAGACATCCTCGCAGAATTGTGATCCGAGATGTCCTGAGCCACAGGCGCACCTCTGACATCCGAGATGCCCTGAGCCACACCCATCTGGATATGATCATTGTGCAAACCACAGCAACACGAAAACAAGCACGGTACAAACACACATGGATCCATGCGAACATACATGTGTTCCACAGGCGCATGTGTTAGTATTTGTGCACAGTGCGCACGTACAACGGACATAGTCGGCGCGGCTCGGGGAGGAGACTACGGGAGGAAGAGTCGGAGAAGAGAATCGGGGAGGAAAGTCGGGGAGGAGAGTCGGGGACGAGACTCGGGGAGGAGACTCGGCGACGAGACGCGGGGACGAGATTCGGGGAGGGGTCTCGGGGACGAGTCTCGGGAAGGAGACTACGAGAGGAAAAGCCGGGGAGGAGAGTCGGGGAGGAGAGTCGGGGAGGATAGTCGGAAACGAGACTCGAGGAGAAGCCTCGGGGACGAGACTCGGGGACGAGACTCGGGATGTGGACTCGGGGACGAGACTCGGGGAGGGGACTCGGGGACTAGACTCGGGGACGAGACTCAAGAAGGAGACTAGGGGACGAGACTCGGGGAGGAGGCTCGGCGACGAGACTCGGGGACGAGACTCGGTGACGAGACTCTGGGATCAGACTCGGGGACGAGACTCGGGGATCAGACTCTCGGGCTGTCCTCTCGGGCTCTCCGGGGGGCGCGGCGCGCCCGAAACACTTGGATCACGATCCAAGTGTTCCTGGGATCGTGAATTCAGGGTCTTCCCGCGCCCATCCCCCCCCCTCGAACCCACGGGGGGGCGATTCTGATACGATTGCTATGCCATCCGGCAGGGCTGGACCTAAACGTTGTTCTTAATTTTGGCTTCGTTTCGTGTTTCGTTCTGCTCTACCCGCTTTCCTGTCCCTCCCGCCAAGACGGGAAACAAAACACGGTCGAAATTTAGCACAACAGCGTTTGGGTCCAGCCCTGCCATCCGGAGTGCCATCCAAGGGCGATGTAGATGCGATTGTTATGCCCTCTGGAGCACGAGGAGGGGGGATGGGGAGGAGAAGGAGGAGGAGGAGGAGGAGGAGGAGGAGGAGGAGGAGGGGGAGGGGGAGGAGAAGAAGGAGGAAGAGGAGGACGACGACGAGGAGGCGGAGGAGAAGGAGGAGGAGGAGGAGGAGGAGGAGGAGGAGGAGGAGGTGGATGGGGACACCCCTCTGCGCGCGGCTGACCAGAGCTGCCCCCGACAGGCGCCGGAGGCCTGGGCCGCTGGCCTATCGCGGCGCCGCGGCCCAGCGGCCCGCCCGGCCGGCGCGGCGCGGGCGCGCCATGCGCCAAAGGCGGGCGCGGCGCCAGGGGCGCCCGCGCACGCGGCCCGCCGTGCGGGGGGCCTCGAGCCCCCCTTCGCTCCGCCTCACTCCTCGCTCCTCGCTCCGCTCGCGTGGCCTCCTCGCTCTTCCTGTCCTCACCCGCCTCTCCTATCCTCACTCCTCGCTCCTCGCTCCTCGCGCCTCCTCCTCCTCCTCCTCCACCACCTCCTCCTCGCTTCTCCTATCCTCCTCCACCACCACCTCCTCCTCCTCCTCCGCCTTCTTCGCCTCCTCCGCCTCCTCCGCCTCCGCCGTCTCCTCCTCCTCCTCATCATCATCCTCCTTCTCATCCTCCTCCTCCTCGTCCTCCCCCTGCTCCTTCTCGCTCTTCGCTCCTCTTCGCTCCTTTTCATCCTCCTCCACCTCCTCCTCCTTCTCCCCCTGCTCTTCCTCATCCTCCTCCTCCTCCACCTCCTCCTCCTCGCTCCTCCTCGCTCCTCCTCGCTCCTCCTCTCCTTCTCCTCCTGTCCACATGCTCATCCCCTCCTCCTCTGCCCTCCTCGTCCCCCTCCACTTCCTCCTTCTCCTCCTCGCTCGTCTTCGCTCCTCGCTCATCCTCGTTCATCTTTCTTCTTCCTTCTCCATTCACGAACAGCGAACAAATGTATCCGCGCCCTCGTGGTCTGGATTCCAAGGCGCGATCTCGCGGATGCGCGGTCGCACTGCTACGTCGCGCGCGAGGCATCCGCGAACAAACCGCTCTGTATCCGCGGGAGTCAGGGCCCAAGGGCCAAGCCCACGAGGCCGCGACAAAACGGCACCTAACGATTTGTCCCTCTTTGGTCCCAAGGACGCGAATGTATCGGTCCAGCTCGAGATAGCACGCTGAAGGAAATGATCGAGAGCTCAAGTCGTGCTGTTTCGAGACGTTATGTTTTTCTTGCGGTACCAACTGCCAAAAGGATCAGACGATCATGTGTTCCAATCTGCGCGTCGGCCAGAGTCTATCTATCCAGTCCGCTCCATCTCACAGTGGGATCAGCGAAAAAAAACTAATAGCCCACCTTACGCTGATTATTGAGATGCTTTAAAACAATTTGGCGTGGGCTGCTTTCGGGTGATGGATCCGTGCCGCGCTGCGTAGCATTGGGCCGTTCCGTCGGCGCCGCTGCCTGGTTGCGCGGCAGTCGCAGCCCCCATCTGCAATGGCGAGAACTGCCACGCCTGGAATGGCCTCTTGGTTTTCCTATGGCCTTCTCGGAAGCGCCCTAGTACGATGGCGGCCAGCTTCAAACAAACTGTGTAAGGAGCCATTGTTGTGCCTGCAACAACCGAATTGTGGACGTCGAGCGAGAGCGCCGTTCCTGAGCTATGGGCCCTCTCGGCCCGAAAAAATCTGGTTTCGCCCGTTGCGGGTTTCGCACAATGTGTGTCGCACGAACCTTTTCGCCTGAGACGCTCTGAGACGTCGTTTTCGCCTGAGACGCTCTCGCACGGTATCCTTCTCCCCCAGTCGAAGTCGCATGGTCGTTTTCGCCCGATCGGTTTCCTCTGGTCGGTTACGCCCAGTCCGTTTCACCCAGTCAGTTTCGCCCAAGCGGTTTCGCAGGAGAGGTTTCGCAAAAGCGGGTTAAGCCGACGGTTTCTTCGTACAATCGTGTTTGGCCCAATCGTTTTCGTCCACTCGTTTTCGCCCAATCGTTTTCGTCTGGTCGTTTCGTCCGTCGTTGTCGCCCGAATGTTTTCACCTGGTCATGTTCGCCTGGTGGTCGGTTTCGCCTGGTCGAATTCGCCCGGACGGGTTCGCCTGGTCGGTTTCGCCCGAACGTTTCCGCCCGGTCATTTTCGTCCAGTCGGTTTCGCACGGTCGGCTTCGTCCAGTCGGTTCCGCCTGGTCCTTCTTGTACGGTCATTATTGCCTGCAAAATTTCGCTCGGGCGGAACTCCCCTCGTCCTCGATCTCCTCGCGGTCCTCGCGGTCCTCCCTCCCCCCCTCCCTCCCCTTTGGCCCGCTCGGTTTCCTCCGGCGTTTTCGCACCGACCGTTTCCCCTGGGCGGCTTCACCCAGGCGCTTCCGCCTGGACATTGTCGCTCTACCTGAACTCCTCTCGTCGTTGCCGCAGCGCTGTTTTTCTTCCTCCCCCTCCCTCGTGTGCCGATGTCCTGGCCGCCTTCTCTTGTTCTGCTCGTCCTGTTCCATGCTCTTCTCCTGCATTATCCTACATCCCTTCCCTTCCATCCGCGACCCTGCAAGTTCACTGCAAGCCCCCCCCCCTTTACAGTCGGAAATCCTCCCCCCTTCCCCTTCCCCTGGGCCTTCGAGCCCGAAGCAATGCCGTTCTGCCCTACTCGTCGGACGGCAATGCCTGGACGAGGAGCAAACACATGAGCGCCAACGTGTTACGATCACGTGGCAACTTATTCTACTCTACTCGTCACCCGGCATCGACAGTTGGGCCGAAAACAATACTATCATTACTCCCCCATGCGGCATCACTGTGGGCGGAAAACATACCACTCTACGTCACTCGTCACGTGGCAGCGCAGAGGGGGCGGAAACACACTGTGTCCTGCTCTACCCATCACGCAGCTACGCAGGAACCAAACGGCCCGCCAAGAAGCTC